TGTTTTTAACATGTTAGAATTAGATTAAGCCCCTGTTTGTCTACCATTAATCCAAAAAATTGTTTGCTACAGTAAGATTCTCCACCACACATTCACCCAATAAAATATTCTACACACAAACCAATAAAGTTACTTTAATTTTCAACCACACATTCTCCAAAAAATACTATTCATTATACTAATTTTCTCCCAATAATGGGAGACAAACAAGCTCTAAAATCGAAATGAGTAGGGTATAGTTTCTTTCAGTATATCTTTCTATCTTCTCGACTTGATAATTTGTCTATCTATTGACTACTTGTAATTTCTTTATTATTATTATTTTTTTATCAATAAACACTACTCCTTATGGGGTGTGTTGATTAAAATAAAAGTTTATAATCTAGTTGCTTAACTTATTGTCCAATTAGGTTTGCATCTCAATTTTCGGTTTTTTGTGTTGAATTCATTTTCAGTTTTCTGTTTTGATGATTCATTTTAAAATTGCAGAAAATGTGTTTAGTTTATTATTCTGAAAAATTATTTTTCAAAACAGAAAACTTGAAAACACGTTTAGTTTGGAATTTTTAGAAATTATTGTATAACAATTTATTCAATAATTTGATTATTCTAATAAAATAAAATATTTTTATGCTAATCTATTATTAAATATTATATATACATTATATAGTGGATGAATCTTATAAAATGAAATTCACTACAAAAATAAATAAAAACAAATAATAAATTGACTGAGCGAGCAAAAGTTAGGAAATAAACTTCATTATACATTTCTTCCACGTTGTTTAAGATGTTAAGGCACATCATTGAATAAGGACCGGACTAGTGGCTTCACCATCCTCGATTGATTAGATGATTTCTTTGGATGAATGCAAGATTTTCTTTCAATTACAGCGTCCTGATTTTAGTTTTCTCGTTGCTCATACAAATTATAAATGACCATTGCACCATACACACTTTATAGTGTGTATTTATAAAGTGTTTTACACGTTTATTTGTGCTTATAATTTGGATTATATTCGTAAATTTGAGTGAATATTTACTTAATTTAGTGTAAATATTATTATTGTAGGGAAAATTCGGACCTGGAGTCATTTGAAGCAAAATGACACTTTTTTTAGCCTAATTAGAGTGGAGTTGGAGCAGTTGAAGGTTGTTTCGACAGTACAAAATTAATAAGAAGCATTAAAAGAGCAATTAGAGAAAAGTCGCAGGTTTTAGAAGTGAAATTCTACTCATTTGAGGACTAAATTTCCGTTTTCAGAACTTGCAAAGGACCAATTTCAGAAGATTATTGGGGTTTGGGAACCAACATGAAAAGCTTTCGAAATTTTCATGGTCAGTATCGAAGGTTACAAATAAAATTTCTATACGCTTCATCGGAGTTTTTCATAATTATTCATGTCTGTAAACAAATGTCAAAAATATGTTTATGACTTAGCCCTCTTTGGATTAAAATTCAATTAAAATTTCAAGTTAGAATCAACATTTAATTTTAATTATACATTTCATGAAACTCACAATTTCTCGACAATATATTTCATCAATTTTATGACTTATGTTTTAAATTTATCATGCTAAATATAATATTTTAAGAGTATATGTTTAATAAATATAAAAAGTTGTATACTTCTATCTTTAACTTTATCCAGACGTATTTAAAAAAGTCGTCATTTTGTTTACGATTCGACTAACGAGTACATTAAACTTATATATAAGTATTTTTTTTTTTTCTCTTTTATTCGACCC